GTATTAGCCAATATAGTACCGCTTTATCTTCTACGTGGTACCTGTTTTCGTCAATTAGTACCAACTTTTTGTCAAGAAAAATGGATTATTCAATTGTGGTCAACATTTACAATAATTGGTCACAGGCCTAGAATAAGATAGTACCAGCTATCGCTGTGTTAGTACCGGATATCCGGTCTTTAGTACCACTTGTAACGAGCACATAAGAACACCGAATTTCAGTATCAAATGATCTTTACATGACAAATAATCACTTTCACACTTGTTTACATAAGATTACAACGCTTTTAATCAAGTTTAGTTGCAAATTGGTCATGAACTCGACATGGTAGACGTGACAGATTAATAAAATGATATGAATTTCATTTGGGTTGTTAATATTGTTAGAAATATCAAATATTTGCATGTAATAAAATTGGGTTGTTAATTTAAAAAAAAAAAAATTGTATAATATTATATGATACTAAATTTTAGAATAAAATAATAGTTGAGTATTATGCTTAATAAAATGAGGGCGGTTTTATTTTGACAAGAAATGTCCAAATTTAAATGATATGAATTTCATTTGGTATGGATAGAAGTGTATTTACTTTTGAAAATAAATAAGTGGTAGGAATTTTATTTGGTAAGGCTATGAAAGTCGAATTTTAGGTTGATTTGTTATAAAATCAAGGTGATATAATAATTATTATAATAAATATGTATTTTTTTATTTTTAAATATTTATAATTTTTTTAATTTTATTTTATTTTTTGTATGTTATATCTAAAAATAATCATATTTAATGATCTTCGATTTGACATCCATATTGCATATGTAAAATAAAAAATAATTACATCTATCATTTTAAATAAAACTATATTTATTAAAAAATAATTTAAAAAATATGAATAGAACATAAATTATTTTATGACAAGTATAAAAAAAATCTAATTCAGTAATACACCATAATCATTTAATGCGTTTATCATATATTTTAAATAGTATAAGAAAATTAAGTGCAAAAATACGGACTCCATTTATATTAATTATTACTTTGTTAGTTATTCATTATTTTTTATATTCATTATACATAAATTTACCATATAAAAATAAATTATTTTAGTTTTTCTATTGTACAAATATTAATATATTTACGTACTCGTGTAGTACACGGGTATCGTACTAGTTGATATATATTCCTCTTGAAAATTAGATAGATCTTTGAATAAATATTTTTTAAAAATTTAAAATTTATAATTTAATTTTACAGAATTAATTGATAAATTTGAAAGACAAAAATATAGATTTGTAGATTTAGTATAATATAAATTTATATGAAATAAAGATTAGTAAAATATATAATTTTTTTATTTGGATAGTATATACAAAAATAAATTAATAATAATTAATAAGAAATTAAGAAAAATTAATATTAAGATAGATAAATAGTAGAAGATGATAAAAAGAAAATAATAAACAAATATATGGAAAGAGAGAGAAAAAAATAATAAAAAATTAAGAAAGATTGTAATGGAAAGAGAGAGAAATAATAAAATAATATGTAAAGTTAGTTTAGTAGTAGAGTGATGTAATAAGTAATTTTATTTTTGACTTATTTTAAAGCTAGGGAGTAAGAAGGAATATGTTTATGGGAGTAGGGAGTTAGAAGGAAAAAATTTTGAAGAGGGACTGAGGAGGAAGTCAGAAATGGGTTTAGGTATTTTTAAAGAACTTTCCCTTAATATTTTTGTATCTAAAGATGAGATTATATGAGAAAATTGCATCTTTCTTTTTGTTGTTTTCTATGCTTTTTATTGCTATTATTCTGTTTATTATATAATATTACTAAAATCAATACTTCCTATTTTGGCCAACACACTATAAACCACTTGGATTAACTTAAAACTAAATTAAATTGTTCAAGAAGTTAAAAGGTGCAACAAAAATCATATACAGGATCAAATGAGTATATTTGTAATTTTACTATAAACCACTTGGATTAACTTAAATTAAAATATTGTTCAAGAAGTTTAAAGGTGCAATATAATCATATATATGATCAAATGAGTATAGTTGCAAATTTGAAAAATAATTAGAGGTTTCTAGCAAGAATCATATAAATCATATAAGTTGTACACCACCAGGCACCAGTTGTGTCAAAGTAAATCTGACTGCTGAATATAATAAGATCTTTTCCAAAAAAAAAAAAAAAAAAAAGCTTGTATAATATACTATGAAAATTTGGAAGAAAAAAAATGATTGTAGAAAAAGTGAGTTAATAAATTTGGTAAATAGTAAAAATTTATAGTTTGTTAAGTCATATTGCTTTTTATTATAATCATCTCGAACGCCTGCTCTTTTGAGCTTTTTCAAATTAGTGTTTTGCATCTCAAAAGCTGATCACATAAGCCCGTTGCTAAATAAGCTAATTAGTGGATTTGATTGATCAAACCTTTAATAAATGAAGTCTAATCCATTAATTTGACGCTAATACGCTATTTTGAGTTTTTTTCAAATTAGTGTTTTGCTTCTAAAAAGCTTATCACATAAGTTCGTTACCAAATAAGCCAACTAGCGGATTTGATTGATTAAACCTCCAATTAATGAAGTCTAATCTATTAATTTAACATTAATATGCTAAATAAAAAAACCAACCCCAAGATCTCGATCTAAGTTGAAAGAACACACGAGCCGAGTTCGTGACGTAGCGAAAGCGTAATCGAACGGGAGAATTAAGAAAGAACTCTCGTATTTTCTTAATTCAACAAAATGAACTCCCCTTCAAACAATAGAATGTGGGTCATAAATATAACACCTAAGAAACCAACTTACCGTAAATTTAGGACTGATAAGAAATTCCTGATTAAATAACTTTCGTACCAAGTAAAAGACCAAAATAATTTAATATCTTCTCTACCAAGTAACAGACTAGAATAATTAAATACGAATAATATAATAGGAATAAATAATTAACCTAATGATGACAAACGATTATGCTTATCCAAAAAAGCCAACGCAATCTCATCTCTACTGAAATTATCACCAGGGAAAGGCACCAAAAAACGTCGAAAGTGCGAACACAAGAAGGCAAACGAATGCAATAGGCATGGGGATTGATGTCATCCGCAATCTCCACTGGGCCAATTTTAGAGACCGATAACTTAGTATACTCACGAGCATAAAATCTATTGCCCACCTCAAACCCGACATGATCGGTTTCCCTCGACTCAAGCAACTTCACTAGCTTGAGTGGAGGAACACAGGTGAATTCGAGAATGATGCATGTTATATTACTAACTAGTTTGTAGGTTTCTTGTATTGTGGACGCAATCCCATAAGCAGGAGGATTTAATAGATCTCTGACATACATAACAGGAAGGCCGGTGCAATATGATGGAAGCAGCACCTTAAGTAAACAAGAAATTCATTCAGTTTAGAAGAGCATCAATTGGGTATGTTGATGTTGATGTAAATGTAACATTTCTTAATGTCATATCATCCTCAAGGCCATAAAGCTCTTGCACCTCATACAAAAGCTCTTGTACTGAATCACCATCAAACCACTCAGAATTTTCTAGAACTATATTCTCCCCATAACATACCATCACCAAATTGGACCCTGAACTTCCTCAACTATGCAAACAGAAAAACCATTGCGTGTCAGATCATATAGGGTTTGTGGTAAATTCACAAAAGGACAACCAAACCTCGCCAGATAGGTTCAATTTAGCATATTCAACAAGAATGCAAGCATCAACACCAATTGCCTCATAGAATCTCCTACCAAACAGGATCGACGAAGAAGAAACGACAGACCCGACGTCCCCCGTCACTATTCCTCAACCACATGGTGCTCGTCATAAAAAATAATCGGACCCTCATATTCGGTCAACCCCTCATCATAAAAAAAAAAGGCATGCTCATCCAAGAACTCGACGATTTTCAGGCCCCAAGGAAATTCGGGGATCTCGACCCAGAACGATGACATCCAACGTCGATCATCAGGGAACCGACCCTCGTCCCGTGCCGCCATTGTACCAAAAGAATTTACCTTGGAGGCGGTGTCCTCAAGATCATCGTCACCGAAGAACGACTGAAGCGATCGGGAGCGGGGCACCCCGCGAGCACTCCAATGTCGTCCATCGCGCACCCACCCGCGACCGCCACATACTCTATCCAGCGCACGGTTCGTATAATTGACATGGTCAGAGGCAGCCTAAGCCAGCCTGAATTCCTTGACCACCGTGGTCAAAGCTGCGACTTGGCGGCTCAACACCTCAACCGCGGTGTCGCGCCTATCTTCTGCAACATCATTCTATTCGGACGACATGGCGTAAGAATCGTATTGTCTCCTGATACCAACTGACGTAGCGAAAGCATAACAAACGGGAGAACCGAAAGAGAACTCTCGTATTTTCTTAATTCAATCAAAATCAACTCCCCTTTAAACGTTAGAATGGAGGTCTTAAACAGAACTCCTATGAAACCTACTTACCACAAACTTAGGACATCTAAGAAGTCTCTAATTAAATAACTCTCCTACCAAGTAAAAGACTAAAGTAATTAAATAAAATTCCTATCAAGTAAAAGACTAGAATAATTAAAAATCTTAACTAACAATAAACGAAAGGGATAAATAATTAAACTAATGGTGTCAAACGATCATGTTTGTCCAGAAAAACCAATGCAACCTCGTCTCCTCGTCTCCATCAGTCTGTCTTCCATCACAATTACAAATAGTAAAATAAAAGTTCACACCTAATAATTTCACAAAATATATTCAATGCCCAGCAGAAAACACAAATCAAAATTTATGATTTCCACTTAGCAGTGTAGATCTTAGTCCAACATATATAAAATACTTGAAATACACAATATAGTGCAGGCTCAAACTCAAAGACTCCTAGCCACTGGGATACATGGACCTCTTATGTATCATGAAACCACACCAATCCAAACATTCAAACAGGTGATACATGGACCTCTTATGTATCATGAAACCACACCAATCCAAACATTCAAACAGGTGATAGTGTATCAGCATGACAAACAACATTATGCCAATTATACCCCCACCTATCCCTGTCATCCGCGAAATACGCCGCCACTCTCCAGGCGCCGGTTGCCGGATCATAACACCCAATCCTATTCGGAACCGACAAAATCAACTCAAGCCCACGACCACCTTCTTTCCGAACCAAACCCAAAACTGAGCAAGTGTAGTACCTTCCAACCTTAAACCCCTCGTAAATCCCCTCCAGAACCGAGCATGCATCGATGTATTGTACCATCTCGGGGAACGTTGATTGCAGTGCAGAAAGCCCGACCCGGAACAACATTACCCACCCGGAACCATCGTCCAAGAGCTCATATATAACGATCGACGAGTCCCGAGTGACGTTCGTTTCTATATCCACCAAGTGCAAGTATCCACCGGATTCCCCCATGTACCATGATCTTTTCGTGGTTACGACCTCGCTCTGCACGGGTGGCATTTGTAGCGAGTTTACGGTTTCACTCTCGACGTCGAAATACAACGAGTCATCATCCTCCGAGTCGAAGTAGTGGACCCGTTTGTTCCAATAAACTCCACCCTGGAAAAGCATCCCGGCCCGAAAACTTAAGAACGGGCCCTTACAGGTCTTCCAGGAGCCCGTCTCAGACAAGAAGACCTGGATTTCAAAATCTGGCCCGACGGGCGGGCTACAGTGGCGGATGCAGATGACTTTGTAATTCGGCGAGTCTCGGGGGTTGAAGGCTAAATCCATGTTGACTATGGGCTTTTTCGCGAGATTTTCGAGTCGAGGGAGAGGGTTCGATTTTTTGGTTGTGGGGTTGCAGACTACGTAAATAAGGTCGACATTATTTTGTGGGGGTGCGGCCAAGAGGCATAACAGTAAACCGTTACACGAGCTCAGAATTGTTACGTAGGTGAAACAAGGCGGGACTTTCAGGAAATCGAACACGGGAAGAGGCCCGAAGCTCTGCCCGAAATGGCGATTTTCGGTGAGGGAGATCAATGTTAGCTGTGGATAATGGTGCAAGATGAGCCCAGAAGTTGAAGGATTTGGGTTTTGAAGGGCGTGGCTTTTGGAAAAGTAATGGCTGGAAATGAGACCGAGCCATTGGGTCGAGACACATTTGAATCGGAATAGAGATTTTATGGGCAGAGGAAGAAGGATTCGGGTTAAGAGGTCTTCATTGGAAGCGATTATCTCAGCAGATTTCTTCATTTTTTTTTATTATTTATTTTTTTTTTTTGGCTTAGGGGGAAGGGAAAATCAAGATTGTGATGGTGAAAGATGGAATGGAAATGAACAGCACAGCCTGGGATTTTATAAGTGTATTCAGGTCTTGCATGACAAGACACAATTAGGCACAGAGATTTCCTATTTTTACTTTGTGTATTACATACACACTACAAAGGATTATGATATTTTTAAATGATAAACTCGTATTTATTTGTTTGAAAATTATTGGCATTCTATCTCTAACATATACAAATATATAAAAATATACAATAATATTATATAATTACCTGGATAGGCGGTGGCTGTATTGATTATGAAATGGAGATGACAATAATCAAATATCAAAAGCCTGGAGAATTCACTGTAATTCAGACATAATAACATGTTTATTATATAAATTATATGAATCTTGATTTTATGGATAGTGTGAATGTAATATATGATGAGTGGATGTCTGTAATAATATGACTGAGCTGTGAGCAGTTTTAAGGTATTTCGAAATCTGCATTGTATGATCTGAATTAAAGGACATCTTTTTCCTAAATGCTGATAATTGAGTCATAGCAATCGGCCCAAAAAAAATCCATTTTCCAGACTGTTTTACTAATATTCTAACAATATTAGAATCATGTATAAGTAATCAGATATGACACTGATTGTAATGCAATGCAAAAAAGATGATGAATTTATGGACCTTTTTTTACCAAATCTTTAAATTTCCTGAGTTAAATTACAATTTGCTGAATCAAAAAGTATGATAGAAATCAAATTAGCTCAATTAATGTAACTTTAATGAAATAATTAATAAATAAAAATCTCAGCTAGATTTCGAATACTAGAGATCTTACTCCTTTTGAGCATTCTCTGGACTTGGTTCAATCTTCAAACAATCTACGAGTTCTGCAGTACAGGATTGCATTTTCAAGGTGTGAAAACTGCAGATTTATCACTTTCCTGTTGACCAAACTCCTGAATTCTGGCACGAATTTTCTGCAGAAGAAGACGGCAGGTGTCTGGAGAAGTGCACGGCCCACACATGGCATAAATGACGTTACCCAGTGGCCTCATGTAAACACCATCTTCACGGAGCTTCTTTACGAGGGAGCTGGGGTAAGTCGAACCATACCTGTTTTTTTTTTTTTTTTTTTTAAATATGAAAATGTTGTTTAGATACTTTACCATCAAGAATCAAGTGCTGTCACACGAGTACAAATATAACATAATCTTTTACTACCCATCAAAGTTTAGCAAAATTAAATAAAATTTATAACTTGACATTTATGTTTTCATCCTGCAACTGAGATCAACAAAAGGGTTCTGCCTAAAAGAATTAAGACATTACTATGAAGAATTAAGAGTCCGGAAAAAGTGATGAGAATCGTCTATGGATTAGATCTGTATAGCCAAGAGAAGGAACACAAGTCAAAAGCCCATACAATCATTGATAGCAAATCAAATCTTTCCGAATTATTGACATCATTGTGTATGTTGTCTGTAGAGCTGTAATTTGTAAACGAGCCGAACCAAGCTCGAGCTCCTGATACTCGAGCTTGAGATTGAGCTTTTATCCACCTCAGCCGAGCCACGCCAAGCTCGTCAACTAATCGACCCGATAACGAGCTCAAGCTCAACTCAAACTTAACGAGCCAAGCTAATCTAACAGTTCAGAAAATTACACAAAAACCCCCTATTTCTCAAGCCTTAACGCTGTTAAACGAACTCAGCTCAGCTTGTTTATCAAACAAGTCAATCCGAACTCGAGCCTTAACGAGCCGAGCCCACGAGCGGCTCTGTTTGTTTAGCATTTTTTGGCCTAACGCAAGAAGACAACAAACTATACTTTTTTGCATCCTTTGGAGACTTCCTAACATTATGTAATAGAACAAGTGCAAGTACTTACCCAGCATTAGAGCCTTCAGCTACAAGTTCAATGGCACAAAGAGTTCCTAGGGCCACAACTCTACTAACTGCCGGAAGTAATGAGATCTGGAACACTAGCTCTGCATCCCATAACTGCAAAACAAGAAAAAATTAAAAGATAAATAACACATATAAAATATTATAAACAATGTTCCATAGGCATAGCACTCGTGAATGCTACAACTAAGAGAAATCTGACATCAATCACGAGTGATTTGCCCATATTGCCACTAATATTAAAATAATGATGATGATTATAATAATAATAAATTATCTTAACATGTAACCTTCCTAAATAGTGACTACAAAAGAATGAAAGTATTTTCAGTCATTATTCTCAGTATCCATGGTAAAAGTCTGATCAGAAGCATCACTACTGTTACTAAGTAGCATCAGAAGAATCGCGTTAACTAGATCATGACTGCTATTACATCCCAAAAGGACTTCCTTTGCGACGGGAGACATAGGAATTTCTTTTTTTTTCCATTTCACAATAGTGATCATATACAGAATTGGTGGAATATGTCAAACACGATTTAGCAACTTGCAATATCACTGAATCGTTTCCAGTAATAACCAAACACTACATTTTGTAGTGTATAGCATGGGTTGATCAAATTAAACATAGAAAAAGGCCCTAACAACCATAAGGCAGGGATAATAATGATAAAATATAATCACATTGGATGTATCTGCTATAAGATTAAAAGTGATAAGCAGAAAGTGCTTTTTCTCATGATTGATAGAAAATAAAGTAACAATATCATACATATTAGATCCAAATGAGAAACAAATAAACAGATAATTAGATATATAACTCTTTTCCTGAGTCAAGACGTGTTTGAAATATTGAAATCTTAGTATTATTAGAACAAGCTCATACTTCAATTAATGATAACAAACTCAGATAAATAAAGGCAAGAGCAAAGTAACATTATGAGATTGCTTGTATAATAATATTCACCTCCTTCAGCGTACTTGAGTCGGGTATTATATTTGCGTTTGTCTTATGGTCCTTAAACCATTTCACAGACTTTACAGCAGCAGCACATCCCAAAGCATGTGCAGAATATGAATGCCCATGCAAAAGAGCCTTTAGCTGAAAGTACAATGGGATTAGTATTAAGCATGAAAATGTCTCCATTCAGCTCAGCCATATGATTGTAAACAACGGTAAATATCTATATCTTAATTGATGGTTTAAAGCTAGCTAAATTGCTCAAGAGGATGGCCACGTTAAGAGGCAAGAAAGATATATACTGTTACTGCTGCCAGATGGTAGCAAAAGAGGGAAGAAATAAGAAGTGTAATAAGCCTGATGTGACCATTGTCGTTGAAATGAAGAAATAGATGATGGCTTTACAGTACTTTTGCTCATTTCTTGAGAATAGAACATAAATGCATGTAATATTCAAGATGCCAAAAAGACTGGCGAGCAGACAAAATAATACATGAAATATTCCAGAAATTCCGATGACATAATAATGCGTGTGGGTGAATATTCAGTTCGAAGTCAATTTGGATTTTGGATGGTCTGCATTGACTAAAATACTTCAGGGAAATTGAGATATTATATACCAGTGAGATGAAAATGGCTGCTCAAACTTGATCCGTTTACAAGAAAAAGTCAACTATAAATTACCCTTCATTTAGATCTTATATGACTCATAACTCTGCGATTCTTTTAACACATAAATTTCATCCAGTTGTACCACCATTTTCTTAAATGATACACAACCATCACAAATAGACATTTTAGGCAAGGTTAATTAACTAGTAATCACCTTAGAATCTCCAGTGAACGCATCAAAAACATTATTGGGTGCCAATGTAGCAGCCAAGGGTATGATGCCACCAGTCATCAGCTTAGCATAACAGGCAATATCCGGCTGGCAGCCGAGTATTTCTGCTGCAGACTGAACGAAAACTGTTACACTTCATAACAGCAAAAGATGAATAGAAAAGGATAGCGTAATTGAAAAGATTTGTGGAAAATTACTAACCTCTCGTCCAAGGCGCCAGAATCCTGTAAAGACTTCATCGAATATAACAGGAATTTTACGACTTTTGCATTCCCTCACAAGTATGCGCTGATACAGTGGATCGATCATTTCCATTCCACCAGCACCCTGTACCACTGTAGTTTATTGCAACAAAAAACATGAAACATTTGCTTGTTCTTTATAAGAACACAAAAATCATATTTGAAAACAGCAAATATTTATTTCCATTACGAATTTTCTTAACTTGCTAAAAGAATCTAACAGTTCAGAAGTATAAAGTGAAACATCAAATAAATACTAAACAGACACAAGATGAAATTTAAGTTAATTGCAAAAAATCATACTTGCCTGGCTCAATAATCAAAGCTCCAACGTGGGAAAGACCAGTAGAATCTGAATACAACTGCAACTCGTGTGATATAAATGATGTGTAAAGGGTTGCAACATCTGAACCATTTCGGCTGCTCTTGAAAATTTCATCATGCGAGGTGAAAGCTACAAAAAGTGACCAACCAATATCTAGAAGGGTAATACACAGAAATAAAACAAATGAGGGAGTATGAACAAGGACGAAGTACTTCACTTACACAGGCATGCATGCTCAAATTTGTCAAATTGCATCTTCTCAGGGAGAGAAACCTCCCAGGAACCATTTTGTATGGAAACTGTTGGTGGATCTAGAAAGAGACCTCTTCCCCTGTACCTGTAAAGTTTAAGAGTCGATATAAAAATAAAACCAGATTTGTTAAGATGTTCTGTAGTGATACCGAAATCAAACTTCGTGAGATGTTTCTCAGTCTTAACATGAAACCACCATAGTGAGCTAAAACTTAAAGAAAAAATTACATAACTAATCATTAAGGACTAGGAGGAATATATGTAAAAGCAAGCTACAAGGTATCACACTGTACAATCTACAGAAAAGATGAATTGATGGGAAGATATGCTAAATCAAACAAGGAAACGTTGTACTACAATAAAATGCCACATGCACACTTGCACATCCTACCAGGGTTGCTGGAGAATGCCAGTATAAGGTGAAGGGGCCTGTGCCTCCATGGCACCCAGTGTATCGCCATGATAAGATCCCCTCAGAGCCAGAACCTAATTCGGAAAAAACAAAATTAAGATCTCGAATAAATTCTAAATAATTGTTATGCAGAGGGTTTAAAATAGTGGTATTTTAAAGTTGGCTTCATGTTATTTAGCACCAGATTATCAAATGCCCCAAATGACTCCACTCAGCACACAGCTGAATCCATCCAAAAACCAGCGGTGAAAAATATCATAATATACACTGAACTATTATCTATTTTCTACAGGGAACAGTTTTATCACCTTGAGATCCATGCATTTTCCATCCACATTCGGAATCAAAAGGTTATTGTCAGACAAGAACTTGCGGAAGGCCATTTTGAGAGCTATTTCTACTGCGGTAGATCCATTATCAGAGAAGTAGACTCTGGAAGCCCATCCTGGAAACATCAGAATTGGAGATTACACAAAAATAAGTTCAGAAATTCAGCAAGTTCATAAGTTCAGAATAGAAAGCCTATCCAACCTTTAACACAAAAATTCAGACGAGATTACTATGAAGAGGAATAAAGTAATGAAGTATTATGATTTATGATGGGGAGACTAATTTACACATCAAGTAGTCATATCTAAACATACAAAAATACAAACAATGGGCACAACTACAGGTATGTGTTTCTAGCACATTGATTTTCTGATCATTGTTTACATTTACTGAAAGATACAAAAACAAAAAGGGAACAGAAAAACAGTGAAAATAAAAAAACACTTCGAAAGAACTGGAAGCCCAAAATACATTGCCAACAATTGGAAATTCAAAACTAACAGCTTGCAAAAACTAACACAAGAAAGGTGTATTATGACAAAGAAAGGAAAAAAAAAAAAAATCACTCTTCTACAAAACTATAAAAGAAAATAAGGGGTAAACTTGCCTTTTCCTACACCAGACAGAAGAAGTTCAGCTAATTCAAGAGCTGGCTCATATACATTCTCTGGGAACATTACATGTCCATATCTTGCAGCAGTATATCCCATATCTCTAGCAAGTTCAATCTGTAAGCACCTAAACAAAAACATTGCTAATGTAACGCACAGAAAAGCAGATAATTGGTCGCATTCAAACTGTTCCAGATTTATTGAGATCATTACAATTTCAAAAACCATAGGAATGACATACTAAGTATGTGTACAGCTTGTAGCAACCTTGTAATGGAATACAGCAAAATATGGTTATTTCCCAGTACCAAAAGCTTAAGTAAAAGTGGGGATTAAATAAATATATCAACTATAAAAATAATAAATAATACCTGTGTGCATAGTTCTCTCATACAGTGAGACAAAAATAATTAAATGAATAGTGACAATAATTGAGAAATTTCTGAAGTTGCACAATCAGTCATTTTTCAGCTAGAGATTCAGAGCAATATTAAGGAGAAATATAAGAGGAGATAGGACACTGACCTGCAAGTTAGCATCAGGGCCCTGAGTCCACCAACTTGCACATGCATCAAACTGTGGAGAAATCCAATTGCAGCTCTGAAAGGGAAGAAGAAAAAAAAAGTTCCATGGGGTACACATTCGAAAACTATAATAGGCGGGATTATTTTGAAAGTTGTAACAGGACGATGCAAAAAAAATCGTTCATTTGGTGATTGCACAAAACTCTCCTTTCTCACATATCTGCTAAGAATAACAAAATAATATACATCAACAAAGATGACTACTTGAAACCGACTCGTTCACAAAAATTCCAACCTTGTGAACCGCAAAGTTCTCCCCACAGCGCGAGTCTATAACAGTAACCTTTTCTTCAGGTATGAGCTTGTGCTGAGTGAATGGCCACCAGAAGACGTCACATGCCTTTCCTGGCATAGCATGCAATCTCTGGGTCCTTTCCTGAAAAGCTGAAAGTATTATCTCTTGGAGCGAAGTGAAAATTGTCTGAGATTTGTTAAACCAGGACATCAGGTCATCAGATATATCTTTTGGAATAGGCGGAAGCACGAGTACTGGTATCCTGGTAAAAGACAAAAAAGAGAGGATGACACAGCACAAAGAAAAATAAAATAGACAGATACATACGTAAACAGATGCTCATACATAACTTAAGCTATCAGATGTTTGCAGCATATATATGGTCGAAGTACTTTCGTACATGCAACTTGATAAAAAAAATTGAACGATATGAAGCAACCGCACAAAAACATTAATCATTACCTATTTCGGAAGTATGATAATAGTGGCAACTCATTTTTTAAACCATGATCCTCAAAAATAACAGCAGCAACGTCATATCCTCGTAGCTTTAGACTTTCGTAAGCAGAGATAGTTCCAGAAATACCACCTAATCTTCCATCCCCCACAAGAATAGCTGGCAGGCGGAAAGGGCTGCTACATCAGAACAAGCATACATCAGAATTTAAAAGAGAGGAAATGCTTTCTTTACATTCTTGAATGTCAAACACAAGAAACAGAGGAGTGTTGGGGTTCATTTTTCATATGAATGCATGGACAATTATTCCGCCAGATAAATTAAAACACCTATCACACCGTTTGCACTACCAGAAACAGTTGATCAATACCCTCGTTTTGAAACATCACCGTCAGCAGCTTCTTTGAATTGTTCTCACGTCACTATGCGTTTCAGTTTATATACACAATGCTGCCTATAACATCACTACCGTGTCGAAATTTACAACATTTAAATTTCAGTGCACACGAGATTTTTCACAAATAAGATACAAGTACCGACCGATATAAGTCACACTGAAGAGACCCGGACGGCCCAGGACTGGCTATTCCGCCTGCAGTCTCGATCACACACATAATATCCACGTTTTCTCTAGTACCATCTAGGCCACTTCCTAAGCATCTCTTAAGCATATCTAAGACCTCTGAGTCCTCGACCATGGCATCTTCTTTCTCAGCAGCTAAATGAGGCGACACGGCCTCTTTCCACCCATACATAGTCTTGCAAACAACCTCAGACACCGGAAACAGCTCTGCTTCACCATTACTCTCACTCCCTTGCAACTTCCTCTCTTCATACCAGTGCACGTTCTGTAATCCATCGCTTTTTCCAACAAACTCACTCCCGAAATCGCCGTTCCTAGAGCCCCCCGAGCTGCTACTGCCTAAGATTTGGTTTGCAGCTGAAACAGAGGCTTTCAGAACACAATTCGATGCGTAGACGGAGAAGGGCAGCGGCTTGAGAGCGAAAAACTGGGAGAATTTCCTGTAAACAAAGCCAGAGTCCGAGTCGGCAGGAAACCCAGTTTGAACTGGCTTGAGATACAGAAATCTCTTCTTGGTAGGCGGCGGCGCCGCCGAGGAGGAGGAGGAGGAGAGGAAGGACATCGAAAGGCCGGCTGAGACTAGGGTTTTACCGAGGGAGGTGTTGGCGGCCCAGATTGTGTAGATTGGGTGCGTGAGGGGGTACTCTATAGCCGAGTGGAGAAGGCGGCGGCGGTGGTGGGAAAAATGGGAGCGGCGGGGGAAGAGGCGGGGGAGTGCGGCGGAGGAGAGGCAGCTCATAGGCGGCATTGTGTGTGTTACAGCCTTAGAGGTGACGCTAGGCTAGAAGCAGGAGGGTTTTAGCGCCTACGAGAGTTCAAACATTAATGGCCAACTAAACTGGTTTTAGAAGTGAGCTATTGTACCATTGTACTCATAAAAGGTGGCAATGCAAAGGTGTTTAAACTCTAAACGAAACTAGTCATTCGTAAACTCGGCTCTACTCGAACTAAAGAGGCCTCAAGTAGCCGACGAGCGGAGGAATCGACTCTACATTGCCTTCGTGATTGTGTAGGAGCTAAGCAAGTATGAAAGGCTTTGATTCCTGTAAGTCATCATTTGGTGTTCTTTTCTATGCCTTTGCGGGAGTGGATAATTCAAAACTTGCAAAATGGGCTACAAATTGGGGTTGTTGTGTGGGAAATGGTTTTTGGTGTCACGGTGTGGCAAGTGTGGCGGGGACGAAATGAAAAGATTTTTTCGGATAAAGATTTCATCGTAGCTAATAAAATTCGGGAAGTCCGCTCTTTTGTTCATGGGATCCGCCTCACCAACTCAGTGGAGACCCACTTAGGCGGCTTCAGTTTGGGTAGAGGAGTCCACTTCATTCGATGGAAGGCCCCTGAAGTTGGTACGATTAAGATCAACACCGATGGATCACTTCTACCTTCGAGTGGGATGGCGTCTACTGGGGGTCTGGCTCGTGATGCTAATGGTAGATGGCTTGGGGGGTTTGTGATGAATATTGGGTTTTGTTCCATTACCGGAGCGGAGTTGTGGGGCCTTTTTCACGGGCTGATGCTAGCCTGGGAGTTGGGTTTCCATAAGGTTCGGGCTGAAGTCGATAGTTTGAGTGTAGTGAAGATGGCGACGGGGAATTCGACTGAGAATCTCGGCATCCATGGCCGCCTGGTTCGGGCAATTAGGGAGCTACTGAGACGAGCTTGGGTGGTCAGTGTGTCTCATTGTTATAGGGAGGCCAATTTTGCAGTCGACTGTTTGGCGACCCTAGCCCATCATTGTCCTAGTGGGTATCAACGACTTCAAGATCCACCGTCGGCAGTTAAACCGTGGCTACAGCATGACCTTATTGGCGTTGCTCACCCGCGGAGTATAGCTGTCTAATGGTTTTAGGCTTTTTGCCTCCTTCTTTGTACCAAAAAAAAAAGAGGCCTCAAGTAGAGCTGCAAACGAACTGCAAGTCAAAACTTAGCTCGAGCTCGATTTTGACCGAACTCGAGCCAAGCTCGAGCATGTTATCGAGTCGATCTCGAGTATAGGTTTCAGCATAGGTTTTGAAAGGTCAAACTGTTCAAGATAATATTACGATATTTTATATACGTACATAATGGTAATTGTATTTCAAATTTGAGTCAAACTCGAGCCGAGCTCGAACATTTAGATTTCAATCGATCTCGAGCTGAGCTTAGGGATTGTCTTTTTGCCGAGTCGATCTCGAGTGTCATAAATCGCGCGCGACGAGCTCGAGCTCGAGCAAGTAAAAAAAAATCAATCTTGTTCGATAAGGCTAATGCTCGATTCGTTTGCAACCATAGCCTCAAGCTCTTAGGCTCAATGGAATGAGGGTAGCTCGAGAATAAGAGTTTTACATACCTTTTTGTTTGTAAACCTGTCTCTAAACGATTCAATGAGGCTCGCTCAAGCTCGTAGGCTCGTCTCTGCTTGATTCAATGGGATTCACTCGAGAAGAGCTCGTCTATGCTCCATCAGCGAGGGTAGTATTAATTGTTTTTTACCAACATAATAAAGTGTGTGAAATATAAAAATTTGATATGAAGAGAATTAACACTATATTTTTGTACGATCTTTAGTTTAGTTCTTTCAATCCCAACAGAATCACAAGTTCAAACTCAGTTGAGTTAACAAACCGAACTGACTTAATTCACTTTCAACTCTTCGAGCGTGCCCGTTGATAAAACTATAAAATTAGAAAATGAAGATAACTGCTCCTGAAAATCTACCAAATAATACTTGTCCGCAATTGATATTGACTTATGAGCGAATTTCAAAGGTTAGTTCACTATTTAGTTGAAAATCAGATGTATAATTTAATCGACTTTTAGCTCGCAGCTTCAGATTCTCTTGTATGTTCATTAACATTTCAATATGCCACTCAACCGTGCTTCAGGAATCTTGATCAGTTTATCAAATAGGAGTGAACAAACTTAGTATTAGGGAACAAAGAGTAATATTGCAACATAGAACCATACAGGCCATGAGGCCATGCTGATCCAAATAGATCCGAACAACCAACACAACCAACAAACACTTACGAACTATTCGAGTACAATGTAACGAAACATGATTCATGTAAGAGTGGTGCACTAACACTCATAATATGGAGAGATTTTAAGTCTCAAACATTCAAAACACTGCATTTCAAAATGGCATATTCTCCAAAATGTCTGAAAGATAAGTGCTGATTCAAATGAACAACAAACATAATTCTGAAATATCCAGAAAACAATAACATTTGATGTCCAAGAATCATCATCAGGTTCTCATCCTTGGACAGGCCCTGAAATGAAAGCTCTTCCGGGTTGCCTATTCGCCAAAGGTCCATGACATCCAAGAAGCTGCAAAGTTCAGAAAGTAATAATGTTAAGCTCTAGAGATTGCAAGCCAGCAATGTATGAGGAATCCTTGAATTTGTTGAAAATGTAAAGCTAACAGTAAGCTGGTGTAAAAAAACTATGTCACAAAGACAAACCTTGGCGTTAACACCATCAGAAACAATCCTATTCTCCGATTTCCATTTCAGATAATCAGTGCGGTTGTATTTGGTAAATCCCCTGTAAATAAGTACACATCAAAGTCAACAACTAAAATGAGCATTGTAACCCAATTTCAGCATTTTTCACTTAGTTTGGGACCCAAAAAATTCAGTTAAGAACACATACCAAAAACTCAAAAAGCTACTTCACTCATTCACACCAAGGCTATGTTTGGTAACCAAAGCTTATAACTTATTTGATTAGCTTATAACGTCTTGTATTTAAATATGCTTTGTTTGGTAGGAAGAGCTTTTTTAAAAACCTCGAGCTTATTCATAAGCTTCTTTGGGTAGCTTTTCAAATAAGCTTGTTGAAATTTTTATTTTAGCTAGCTTCTTAGCCAATTTTACAGAACACTTATCATATAAGCTACCTTTTCAGCTATAAAGTCCAGTTATAAGCTATAAGCTCGAAAATAAGCCAGCTTATCAGTTTTACCTAGTTTTACCAAAGGATCAAAAAAATAAAACCAAATTACTCACATAAGCGATTTTTCCAAGAAACAATGGCATAAAAAGAACACAAAATCTAAGAAACATAATATTAGTAAAATGATCATAAGGACTGAATAACAATAAGTATGGTTATCAATAAAAAAAAAATAACAGTATGCTGGGAAAAAAAAACCAGAAAGAACCAATACCATTTCCGGCTAACGATGATCTTCTGACGACCAGGAAACTTGAACTTCGCACGGCGCAGTGCCTCCTGAGCATGATGGCTGTTTGCATCTTTGCAGCGTACAGACAAAAGAACCTGACCAATGGCCACACGAGCACAGGTCCCCTGTGGCTTGCCAAAAGCACCCCTCATACCGGTTTGGAGCCTATCAGCTCCAGCACACGAAAGCATCTTGTTAATACGCAGGACATGGAAAGGGTGTACCCGTACCCTCAGGTGGAAGGTGTCCTTTCCGGAGAACTTGGTCATGTACTTGTTGCAAGCAATACGGGCAGCTTCCAAAGCCTCGCTGGATACATTTTCCTTCTCCCAACTGACCAAGTGCACGCAAAACGGGAACTCGTCCACACCTTTTTTCTTCATGCCCACATCGTAAATCCTGATTTTGGGGTCAGGCACACCACGGCAGTATCGTGATTTCGGGTAGGGCTTGTTCTTGATCTGGCGGTAACACCTAGCAGGTCCTGGTAGAAAAAAAAAAAAAAGCAGAAGCAAATCAGTAACATGGATTGAACAAAAACACCTTAACAATCAAGAATTTTACAAAGAAGGGACAACAATGAACAAACCAAAACGATACCTTTGAATAAAGCTTAGCTAGATGGATATAACAGATAATACAATACTATTACATGATATGATGCATCGGGGCATCGCATCAACAAGTTTCTGAGTAACATATATAAAATTATCTACAACAAAAACCCCAACTTCTTACTCTCTATCATTGACATTAAAATGGTGGCAACCAATAATCACTGGATTTTAGCACTACAGATTAAAATTTCAACGATAACAAGCAACACGACCACAAAAATTAGCAGGAAAAAAAAAAAACAGAAGCTTGGGAATCTGGAGATCCCATGAAACCATAAAAAAAATGACCAGAAAAACAGAAGCTAGACAATCTGGCGCTCCAATGAAACAACATATGGACAAATTCTGAAATAAATTAACCTAAGATGCTACAAATGAAATCCGAAGTCATAAATACTGCAATCCTGATAAAATCTTTATCCTGAATAATATATTTCTTACAAAATCATACAAGTAATAATCATACATCAAATGCAATTATGAAGAAAAATGCCTTACTTCTCCCCATCGTGAGCTTCTTCAAGTCTCTTCGCCCGATGATCAAACCTAGAAAACCTAACCCTAGAAGATGAGCTGAGATGGTCGGACAATATATATATATGGAAATGGTTAGGTTGGCGGTGATATAGGCCCAGTAATTAATGGGCTGGTCAGATAGTTCTAGGCCCAGAATAATGCGTGTGAAATGTGAATTGTGAATGGTCTGCTTTGATGGAAAAGATCAATTCGACTTCTTTAATAGAATGTTCTATTAATTTTGACTAGCATAATATATTCTATTGTGATGATTTATTTTAGTGGGAAAAAAAAAAAAAAAAATCGTCTTGTTTGAATTAAGATGATTATATTAATTGATTTTGATTAGTATAATGTATTATTTGATTTTATTTATTATTTTTAGTAGAGATGTTAAACGAGCTAGCCCTGGCGGTTTCGGGTTAGCCCTAACGGGCTTCGGGCTAAACGGTCCGGGCTTAAAAAACCCGAATTTAAACGGGCTACCAATAAAAGGACCTAACCCTAACCCTAGCGGGCTTCGGGCTAAACGGACTATAATAATAATAATATATAAAAAAAACATATAAATAAAAATTACAATGGCTAGTTCACGATTGTTTTCAACGGCTATTTAGTATTTACCGCTCTATATATACACAACTACATTTCATGTATGAACACTTATTACAAACTTTTAAGTGACATGTTTTTCTCAAAAGAAAAAAAAAAAAAAAAACGTTCGAACTATTACTTGTAATTACCATTTTACTACTTATTTTTGTACGTTTTGGAAATTTTCACGATATTGTATCTTACTGTTGAATTTATATTCTATCACTATATTCTATGTATTAGGTCTTTGTCTCATGTATTTTTTATTAGCCGTTCTAATTGGCTTAAATAATTTGGTGTGAAGTAGAATAACGAAATAGTTAATAATTTTCAAAATCATAATAACCCGCTACAACTCAAAGGTACATATAAAGTAGAATAGTGAGATTGTAATATACAAATTAAACGGGCTAGCCCTATCGAGCTTCGGGCTAGCCCTATCGGGCTTCGGTTTAAATGGTTCGGGCCTAAAAAGCCCTGATTTAAACGGGCTACTAAAGAAAGGCCCTAACCCTGTTTTTTTTCGGGCTAAACGGGCCGACCTGTCGGGCCAAGGACCGTTTAACATCTCTAATTTTTAGTATGGAAATTTAGTAGTTTATATTTTTTCAATAATGAAAAATGGTATTAGAATAACTTATTTTTAATATTCTTTTTATATATATGTATATCCTCTTAAATAATAAAAATATTTTATACATAATGATAGTGTAATTAATGAAATTCTTAAAATATCTTAGAACTCGTATATATTATTGCGATGTACGTAAAAAAAATATTAAATTTATATTTTGTGTATATGAATCGATTGAATGATTAGATAGGTAGATTTATCATGCTCGTTTAACAAAAACTCGTGTTTATTGTCTACATTTTTTAGCTAAAAAAAT